TCAGTTTATCAGTTAGTGTGGCTTAACTAGGTACCCAAGTATGAGCAGTGTGCAAGCCATCAGAATAAAGAGGAAATAATAATTTAAAAATTAGGAAGGAAATTAANATACTCGGCACCAGTGAAGAACGTGCCCGAAGGAGACTGATAGGCGTTTCCGGGACGGCCTCGACTAGATCTTGTGTTTGCATTATCTGATATTAATAGCTCACTGAACTCACTGCCAAATGCCGGTCCACGGGTGCTATCACAAAAGATGCCCGGAGATGGCTTATGCTGTGGGAACTGCGGCAGTTTGGTCGGCTCCAGGCCACTTGGGTTTACAAAGCTGAACAGGAAGGCATTGCAACAAGGCATGTGCACCCATTCACTATCAGTAGGACCTGCGAATAACAGTGATTACGCCTGACATATACTGTTTATTCAGGCATTATGTGTTAAACGGTCATTTTCACATTTCAATTTCAAAGTTCTTTAAGTCTAAACCTTTCAAACATTTTCTGCTCCACTCCTCTTGTTTAATCCTGAACCAATACTGAACTCGAATTAAAACCACGAAGACAACTAATATGATCTGATACCAGTCCTGCTCCTTTGCAAAGAATACGAAATTTCAGCCTGAGGCCATCTACAATAATTTTTTTCATTTCTACCGAAATATTTTCCCCTAGGAAACGAGCAAATAAGTTAAAGCCACCTACAAAGACGTTACCAATATCCTGCTCATGGACTTATCAACTTATCCAGCTAGTTCAATGAGTATGATCTACGTAATCCTTTACACTGGCGTTTATCAGTTTATCAGTTAGTGTGGCTTAACTAGGTACCCAAGTATGAGCAGTGTGCAAGCCATCAGAATAAAGAGGAAATAATAATTTAAAAATTAGGAAGGAAATTAACAAGGGTGAATGAACAAATGCCTGTGACAAAGGCTATACGAATTCAAGGCCATTCGTCAGGCGGTGAGTTACTCGATAAAGCTAATTTGTATTTTAGAATCATATCAATTTATCTTACTTGTCCAAGCGTTCCCAGTGAAGCCTCCAAAAATGTTTCCACCACTTTTTACAACAGTGACTGTAGGTACTTTGTTGTCGCATTTGAAATGAAACGCTGAAGCAGCAAATCCATCTCGTGAAGCTCGGAATAGCAAACGCCATTCGCTTTTTATAGGCAACCAAGTTTTCAAGACTCTTCGATGCTCTTCGTTCGTCAGTATCACCGACTCCTCAAACTCTTTCGGTGCTGTACGATGCAGTTCATCCAATATCCCTTGCAGTTGATAAAACTTAGCTTCTGCTTCGAGTTCCTCGAGGAATGTAGTACCATCTGGCAAGATAAGTTCTCCGTTACGAAGATAATTTAGTATAAAGCGGAAGTAAGTTCCATCTCGGTCGATAAAGAAGGAACCGTCTTCAGTGGTCTGTACTCCATGCCTTCCTGAAAACATGGCTGCTAACATTGAGTTGGGATCTCTTGTTAGCGTTTGCAGGCTTGTTGTAAAGTGTTGGCCACCGACATTGAGTTTCACGATTGAAGGAAAGTAACGCGGCTGATTAGACATCACTTCAATGGGATTATCTAAGACACGTGCAGTAGGTTAGTGTAGTCTATAGTTTCAGGTACTTTCCTCTAATATAAGAACAGTTTGTCCTAAGAAAACTTAAAAATTGTGATTAAGGTTTAGATTGCTGAGCGGTTCTGCACAATACAGGGATACCAGAACTACAAAATCCGTTTGCCAAGCAACGTGTTTCGTCGGCAATATCAAAGGACAATTACTATACGGGAGATGTCGTGTCTTTTTCCCGCGAATTTTAATTATGTTAATGTGTCTGTTAATGTATTTTCTTTGTTTTCGAGCACGTGACATAGTGGTGGGCAGTCGGTCACAAAATTTAGAGCCTAAGCGTCGATGTCTTCGCGTGGATTCTATTTTCTTCTTTGTACCTTGATAGTTCAGTTTGATGCGGTCGCATGAACAAGTTTTTTCAAGTATCGAGTACATGTATCGTCGATGAACTTCTATTTGCTCGATGGATGAAACAGGATTTACTAACGACGCGTGGACTAGTAATTTGTACCGAGTGTGATCTTCTCGTCGAAGTATCCCACAGGAGAGGTGGTAAACTCGTCCCCATCTCTCTCTTACGACTGGCTCGTATCTGGTACTTGGCAGCTGGAAGCAAGGTGACCCCTGTAACGCAACATCGCAACTTTTTACCTCGGTTTGGTAATCAGGATGAGGTTATACGTACGAGTTGTTTCGCTTTCCACCACTAATCATGCGTGCTCATTTTTATGTTTTAGACAACGACCGAGAAACAGAAAAACTAATATTCGTAACTTCTAAACTTCTAACTTCGCTTAAGCCCCCCCCCCCCCTCCCCCCAACTTTTGGCCCCGCCTACCCTTTACAAAAAAAAAACCTTTATTTTGAGAAAAAGACCCCCCCGCCATTAATCCCCCCCCCAACAGTGTGGAATAAGATCGGTTTTTATTGCATTTTTTAACTTTGAATAAAAAATCGTAATTCAAAA